ACACATATATAAAATGATTCTCAATATAGTGACAGGTCAAAAATTATGAAACCGATATCATGATATGGACTTCAAACTGGTTTTGTACGATAGATTTTTAATGTATCGCCCAGCCCTACCATATACACATATTTTTGAACATCAGTTGTGAGCAACCTCACTGTCAAGTTTTGAATCAAAACATTTTGCATCCAGCAAAACAGCATTTCAGTTGGGGGAGGAGAGGCAGAAAATGAGAGAGAGAGAGAGAGAGAGAGAGAGAGAGAGAGAGAGAGAAGAAGTATTCTTTGCCTTTAGGCTAACTGCATCCCTAACCAGCATTTTCCCCCATCCTGGGTTGCTCCCAGACAAAGAGCTCCTTTTCACTTTCCTCCGGGCCATGATCAGATAGAAGAAAGCCGTCTCCTTGGTGGGTCTGGAAGGAGAGCGCCGGATCAAGGAGACTTCTCCACCCCGGGCGCCGCGAGAGCAATTTAAGTCAAGATTTGCCCGGGGCTACGGCCCAGCAGCGGCATCGATCACCTCGCTCGGCTTTTTGTAGAGGCTTGCAAAGGCTGCTTTACCCCGGGAGAGGCACAGCGAGTTTTCTGCCAGCAATGAGTTCTTCCTGAGGTCGAGCCACACACATCTTCCAAGCACGCAGCAGTGTTTTATCTCGATGGGGGAAGGTGGGCTCATTTTAGGGACTGTGAGCCATCACGTCTCTCCATTTCCCAATCGGGCAATGTGTTGAGCAGGGGTCGGTGAGGTTTACCTCGCCTGGGCCGGTTCACTCCAGCAGAGATCCCATCGTGGACCGGATTGCGCACAAATTGCAGACGCAATTTTTGGCACCTGCGCATGCGCAGACACGATTTCCAGCGCCATGGAAGTGAGTCCCTGCACCGTGCCAGTTTAGCGCAGCATGCAGGGATGCGCCGAACGGGCAGCTTGGTTTGGGGGGACGCGGGTGGCGCTGTGGGTTAAACCACAGAGCCTAGGACTTGCCGATCAGAAGGTTGGCGCTTCGAATCCCCGTGACGGGGTGAGCTCCCGTTGCTAGGTCCCTGCTCCTGCCAACCTAGCAGTTTGAAAGCATGTCAAAGTGCAAGTAGATAAATAGGTACCGCTCCAGCAGGAAGGTAAACAGTGTTTCCGTGCGCTGCTCTGGTTCGCCAGAAGCGGCTTAGTCATGCTGGCCACATGACCCAGAAGCTGTACGCCGGCTCCCTCTGCCAATAAAGCGAGATGAGCGCTGCAACCCCAGAGTCGGTCATGACTGGACCTAATGGTCAGGAGTCCCTTTACCTTTTTTACCATGGGCCTGTTAAACAACCCCCATGGGCCGCTTATGGCCCATGGGCCTTAGGTTGACTACCCCTGGCGTTGAGCATAGCTGAAATGACACCAGCCCCGCCCAAAGCTACCAATGTTTGCAAAAGCACACACACACAAAAAATGTTTTTACAAAAAAAATCAGGGAAGGAAGCCCCCAAAATACCGTATTTTTCGCTCTATTGGACGCAGTTTTTCCTCTCCAAAAATTGAGGGGAAATGTGTGTGCGTCCTATGGAGCGAATGCAGGCTTGTGCCATAGCCGCGCGCAACCCCTCCGGCAGGGAGAGGCTGCACGGGGCTATGGCTTCTTAGCCCGGGGCAGCCTCTCCCGGCAAGGAGAGGCTGCACGGGGCTAAAGGAGAAGCCAAAACAGCGAGCGGGATCCATCCCGCCGCTGGCTTGCCTTCTTCCATAGCTGCGCGCAACCCCTCCGCAAGGAGAGGCTGCATGGGGCTATGGCTTCTTTAGCCCCACGCAGCCTCTCCCGGCAAGGAGAGGCTGCACAGGGCTAAAGGAGAAGCCAAAACAGCGAGCGGGATCCATCCCGCTCGCTGCCTTGCCTTCTTCCATAGCTGCGCACAACCCCTCTGGCAGGGAGAGTTTGTGTGCAGCCTGTACGCTGCTCTTTGGGGCTGGGGGGGGGAAATATTTTTTTCTTTGATTTCCCCCCCTAAAAACTGGGTGCGCCCTATGGTCCGGTGCGCCCTATGGTGCGAAAAATACAGTAGCCTAATGAGGACTGAGCATGCTCAGCAGCAGCCAAAGAAATCACTGTCATTCCTGAAAAATGGAAAATGTCCGGGAAGCCACCTTCAAAACAGGATCGGCCTCTGAAAGGAAGGGGATGCCTGCCATTCCCTCCTTCTGTTTTGCATTGAAGAAAGAGGCGGAATTAATTAATTGCCTCTTAAGCACTCAATCGATCACCCCCACTTAATCAAATGAAGAACAAAAGTGAAATAATGGCAGTTGTGGCAAACTTATCATTATCTGGAGGAAGGTATCGCTAAAATATTTATGGGTGGCTGTAAAAAAGGCAGGTCTTTAGCTGACAGGCAAATTTGTATTATGGAATTATTATTCCTCTTTTTCAGCCGAAAGAGGTGGGACACAGTGAGCAACCTCAGCACTTTAGAGAGGCTCGCCCGATACAATAGGTGACTGTCAGCTGTTTGTGATGGGATGTAATTTATGAGCGCTCCAGCCTCGCCTGTGGTTGCTCCGTCACATTTGCACCCGGATCTTCCTTCTGTTGAGATGTGAATAGATGCTGGTGAAGGATATATTCATTAGGTATGATCCTTCCATCCTCACATTGTTGAGTTCAGCAAAGTGCAACCCTTTGCAGCTTAAAGGGGAAGCTTAGATAGGCTAGTTTTAGCCTTTTCGTTTAAATGAGCCAGGATGCTTTAAGGCATCCCTTTTCTCCCCCTTAAAATAACAATCACACCGACAGTCTCGCAAAAGGCAAAAATAACATTCGCTCGCTCAGAAGACTTGTTGAAGAGTAACACATACAGCAGCTTTGTTCTGGCAGGCTTAAAATGGTAATTTGGTTACGAAGACAGACTTAAGTCTAGCTTTAAAAAACAGAGGTGCTTCGTCCAGAGATGGAAAGAAGACGAAGTCCCTACCAGAGAAAAATGGCAAATTAAGCTGTTGGACTATGCCGAAATGGCAAAACTGACCGGAAAGCTCAGGAACCAAGAAAACCAAAACTTTAACAAAGAATGGGAAAAAATTATAATTTACCTGAGAGACCACTCTAAGCAGATGAAAACATTAGCAGGGCTGCAATAACACTTGTAAGGTAGCAAATACTATGAGAAAAAAGGGAGCAGCTTAAAATATGAATTACAGTGGTACCTCGGGTTACATACACTTCAGGTTACAGACTCCGCTAACCCAGAAATAGTACCTCGGGTTAAGAACTTTGCTTCAGGATGAGAACAGAAATCGTGCTCCGGCGGCACGGCAGCAGCAGGAGGCCCCATTAGCTAAAGTGGTGCTTCAGGTTAAGAACAGTTTCAGGTTAAGAACGGACCTCCGGAATGAATTAAGTACTTAACCCGAGGTACCACTGTACTGAATAATATGCAGTTGAAAGGGTTAACAATAGAACCCATGGAGGGGAAGGTGGGAAGGCCAAAGATTCGGAGGAATACTTAAATGTGGATATGTATAGTAGTATTGCTATTTTCCCCCCTTTACATTTGTAAAATCAAATAAAAAATATGTAAAAAAGAATACAAATATTAGAATTTTTTTTAAAAAAACCTATGGAGATGCTTCTTCACATTGCTGGCATGGTAAAGAGTGGAAACAGGAGCAGCAGGGGAATAAAAGGGTTTGCCCAGGCAGGTTAGGTGAAAATACAGTGGTACCAAAACCCAATATACTTTATCTACCTCGTTCTGCACTCTCAAGTTTTTAAGCAGCGCATTCCGCAAGCACCATCAGCGGCCAGCTTCACTGGGTACCAGTTTGTTGGGGAGGGGGTGCAACTGACTGATGAAGCACATGCTTCTACCTGTGGGAATGTTCAGGGAGGCAGGAGAGGATATATTGTTTATTAATATCCTTCCTAACTTGGGCTAGCAAGTTCTATAACTTAGCAGAGTTTTACATTCCCCTTTTAAACGCACAGCGGATGGTTGGTTGCAGGCTTGTTTAAGCCTCTCAATATTACACTCCTGGTAAGTTTCTTTATATCCCTCTTAAAAGAATAAACATGCCACAGTCTTGTGTAAAGTATATAAAAGAAGTTTACTCACATCATCAGTTCACAGTTGGATCCCTGAAGGCAGACTTAGTTACAAAGTATATACATGTGGATCTATCCCATATGGAAATAGTCCCAGTGTCCTCTGTTGGCTGAGAGTCAACAGAGGAATTCTAGCTAAAATTTGCTCCAACGGCAGAGGAAGTCAAAGATAGAGTGTGCCCTTTTGTTACATGGACAGGTAAGGTCACGCCCACCTCTAGTCACATGCAAAAGGAAGTATATCCCAGCTAGGAGGAAACAGGAAGTTTTCGACTGGCTGGACCAAACATTCCCTCGCATGTCCACTCTAGGAAAATAAGGAATGTTGTACTTGTCTGCTACTTATGTATCCCATCCAACACTACCTGCAGAAGGTCTTGGGTTCAACCTCCTGTCTAAAACCCTGGAGAGCCACTGCCAGTTTGTGCTGGAGATTGAGTATGGGGCCTGCCATACACCCAGGTTTTCCCGGACATATCCTGGAATCGGGTGGCAAAATGGCATCTCTGGGCAGATTTTTGCTGAATCGGCAAACTGTCCAGGAAAATCGGATATATGGCAAATAGGGCATTTTTTAAAATCCCCAAAAAGCTTAGCAGCTTTGACCAACTTTGTGTGGATTTTCCCTTTGAGGAATATGGCAACCGTATAGCAAAGGAGGTTCTCTGCCTCTGATCTAAAGTCCTTCCCTTAAGACTCAGAAGATTGGTCCATCCAGCTCATCATTGTCTACACCAGTCTTTCCCAAACTTGGGTCTCCAGTTGTTTTGGGACTACAACTCCCATCATCCCTGCTCGCTAGGGATGATGGGAGTTGTAGTCCCAAAACAGCTGGAGAAGCAAGGTTGGGAAACACTGGTCTGTACTGACTGGCAGTGGTTCTCCAGGGTCTCGAGCAAGAGGCTTTCACAGCTCTACACAGAGATGGCAGGGACTGAATCTGGGGCCTTCTGCATGCCAGGCAGGTGCTCCACCACTGAGCTTTCATATGATGTGTTGGGGCATATGCAAGAGGTCCATTCACCATGCCAGCAGAATGTGCCAATGGGACAGGAAGACACCAGCCAGTTCTAGGTAGGGTCATCTCCTTTGCCAACAGTATAATGCAGTTCTGCAGGTTATAGGCTACATACAGGTGTATATATATGTAACTTGCAGGGTTCCAACACAGATTAGGCTCTGTCCAAGGACAGGGGCTGAGAGCAAACTCTGTCCAAGGACAGGGGCATCTCCCTCTTTTCCTCTCGCCACGTGTTCCTGCTTTTCCCACCCTCCCGCCCTATAAGGTTTTCGTTCCTTGACCTTGCTATGGACCTTGGTTGGTCGCCATTGAGGGGCCTGGTAGGAATTTTTCCACCTGGCAAATTGGCACCAGCCACTTGGTTTTTGCCTACCTTGTAGCAAATTGCCACAACTTTCTTGCTATTGGCGGTTAGGCATTGGTATTGCTCTGTAGATGGAAGAGGGGAGGTAACGCCATCACCTATCCCACATATTGCAGGGTAGTCCGATAAAGGATTCCGGGGGGGTGTAGCCCTGTCCGAAGCCTGGGGAGGTGAGGGCCTAAGGCACACCCCCAATCGGTGGCCCAGTGGGAGTTCCTAGTTGATGCGCATCAGCAGGACTCCCCCTACTGGTGGTTAACCCTTCCTGGACTTCAAGCAGACGGGCTGAAGTCGGATATAGTCGGTTAGGACCAATGCCTAAGCCAATACCGCTCATCACCTGTAACCAATAAAGTTGTGGCCTTATTTAGCCCATTAACCTTAATAATTATGTCATGTGTCAATATTTCCACTGGGAGCGGGGGCGGGGGTGGGAACTCAACATGCAACACACCCAAACTTTTTCATGTCCTTTTTCTCTGCATGCGGAAAGCCTTCTGCATTACAATGGTTCTCGACTAGGACCCAGGAAACCAGGGTTCGTATGGGTGAAACTGGGCGAAATGTCATTCTCTCTCAGCCTCACCTACCTCGCGGGGGGGGGGAGAGATTAATGTGTGCTACCTTGCTCTCCTTGGAAGAAAGAAGGCGAGGTATTGTTGTTTAGTCATTTAGTCGTGTCCGACTCTTCATGACGCCATGGACCAGAGCACGCCAGGCACTCCTGTCTTCCACTGCCTCCCGCAGTTTGGTCAAACTCATGCTGGTAGCTTCGAGAACACTTTCCAACCATCTCGTCCTCTGTCATCCCCTTCTCCTTGTGCCCTCCATCTTTCCCAACATCAGGGGCTTTTCCAGGAAGTCTTCTCTTCGCATGAGGTGGCCAAAGTATTGGAGCCTCAGCTTCAGAATCTGTCCTTCCAGTGAGCACTCAGGGCTGATTTCCTTAAGAATGGAGAGGTTTGATCTTCTTGCAGTCCATGGTGAGGTATAAATCAAATCAAATACTTTCCTTCGGGGATTCTTTAGCTGTGATTCCTGCATTTGCAGGACCCTTTGGGTCCCTTTCAACTTTCCATTCCTTTTACTCTTTTATTCAAGTAGCCACAGGAGGTCCAGAAATGGCAGGGGGAGCTCCTTTCCTCCACCTCCGTCGCCCAGCACAACCCCGGCAACTGCTCTGCCGTGTAGCACACGGAGGGTTAATCGCTCCCAACCATTAATCTCGCACATACACATGCCTGGCAATTCAAATCAACCTGCACATTGTTTTGGATTACCCTTTTTGCCATTCAATCAGGTTTAAATAAGCAAGGGAAACAACAGGTGAAGGACAAAAGCTCCTTGAATCAATTAGGAGACCGAGGGGAGGGGAGGATAAACAAAGGATGTGAGAAGGGGGGGCACCTCACAGCTCTCAAACCTCCAGGAGCCGAATAGGATAGGCTTCCTAGTACCAAGTCAGATTATCGGTCCACCTAACTCAGCACTGTCCACACTAGCCGGCAGCAGCTCTCAGCCAAAGGACATATCCAGTCCTACAAGAATTTAACCTGGGACCATTGGTCCAGCTAGCTCAGTATTGTCGGCACTGGCCAGCAACAGCTGTCTGGGGTTTCTGGCAGGGGAGGTACCCAACCTTTCCTGGAGATGTTGCTCTTGGAGATTGAACCACAAGCGGCATTGAGATCTTCCTCCAATAGCCACTGGCAGGAAAAATGGATCTTGGTCTGATCTGTTGTTGTTGTTGTTCAGTCGTTTAGTCGTGACCGACTCTTCATGACCCCCTGGACCAGAGCACGTCAGGCCCTCCTGTCTTCCACTGCCTCCCGCAGTTTGGTAAAACTCATGTTGGTACCTTCGAGAACACTATCCAACCATCTCGTCCTCTGCCGTCCCCTTCTCCTTGTGCCCTCCATCTTCCCCAACATCAGGGTCTTTTCCAGGGAGTCTTCTCTTCTCATGAGGTGGCCAAGTATTGGAGCCTCAGCTTCAGGATCTGTCCTTCCCGTGAGCACTCAGGGCTGATTTCCTTCAGAATGGATAGGTTTGATCTTCTTGCAGTCCATGGGACTCTCAAGAGTCTCCTCCAGGACCATAATTCAAAAGCATCAATTCTTCGGCGATCAACCTTCTTTGTGCCAAATGAAACCATTGCAGCCCAGCCAGGGCTCGTTTAGAGCCTGCAAATTTTCCAGTAATGAAAAGCGCAGGCCTCTGGTTTTCAGCAACTGGTATATCTGCCTCCGACCATGAAGGCAGAGCACAGCCACTGGGGCTAAAGGTAAAGGTGCCCCTGCCCATACGGGCCAGTCGTGTCCGACTCTAGGGTTGTGTGACCATCTCACTTAAGAGGCCGGGGGCCAGCGCTGTCCGGAGACACTTCCGGGTCACGTGGCCACTGTGACGAAGCTGCTCTGGCGAGCCAGCACCAGCGCAGCACACGGAAACACCGTTTACCTTCCCGCTATAAAGCGGTACCTATTTATCTACTTGCACTTAAGGGTGCTTTCGAACTGTTAGGTGGGCAGGAGCTGGGACCGAACGACGGGAGCGCATGCCGCCGCGGGGAATCGAACCGCCGACCATACGATCGGCAAGTCCTAGGCACTGAGGTTTTACCCACAGCACCACCCGTGTCCCACCCACTGGGGCTATTAGCTGGCAATAGCTTCCTCCTCTATGAATTTGCCAGGCCTCTTTGAATTTGCCAGCCCTCTTTTGAAGCCCTCCAAGTTGGTTGGCATCCCTCCTTCCAGTGGGAAGGAGTTCTACGGTTCAATTCTGCACTGTGCAAAGAAACAGTGGGAGTAGGAGGGAAAGACCCCCATTTTCCTCTTCCTAAGAGTGCCAGCACAGGACGCGGGTGGCGCTGTGGGTTAAACCACAGTCTGATCAGACTTGCCGATCAGAAGGTCGGCGGTTCGAATCCCTGCGATGGGGTGAGCTCCCGTTGTTTGGTCCCAGCTCCTGCCAACCCAGCAGTTCGAAAGCACGTCAAAGTGCAAGTAGATAAATAGGTACCGCTCTGGCGAGAAGGTAAATGGTGTTTCGGTGCGCTACTCTGGTTCGCCAGAAGTGGCTTAGTCATGCTGGCCACATGACCCGGAAGCTGTATGCCGGCTCCCTCGGCCAATAAAGCGAGATGAGCGCCGCAACCCCAGAGTCAGTCACGACTGGACCTAATGGTCAGGGGTCCCTTTACCTTTAAGAGTGCCAGAGAGAAGGATCCTGCCAGTGTGTGTGTGTGTGTGCGCGTGTGCGTTTGCACAACTTAATAAGGAAGTCCATAACCTTATTTAAAAGTCACTTTCTCTGCTGAGTGGAGGCATCTCCTCTCCCTCGGCCCCATCATTCCGCCTTCTGTATGGCTCATTTTATGACTAGTAATAACTCTTGTAAATTCCTCAACAGATGGAAATTTTATTCCTCTAATCAGTGGCATTTGACGTACCAGGAGGAGGCAGGGAGAGGAAACCTGGGATGGAAATGTTTTAGCAGAGGTTGGCTTTGGGGTTGGAGGGAGGAGAGTGTGGGGAGGGGGGAATCGTGGAGAGAGAAGTGGAGGCTGATGTGCAAAGCCAGCTTGAAGGTCTTCTAATTAGACAAGATACTTAAAAAAAAAATTTTTTTAATTCCATCAGTTCTGTGTCTTCGTCTGCACGGATGACGCCCAAGCCAATGTGAACACCCAACCATGGGTCTGAGAGAAAGAGAATTCGGTATATCCTGCTCTCAGGGGTCAACCAAATGATACTGACAAGAAGGAGGAGATTTGGGAGAGAGGAAAAAAGGCATTGCCAACTTGCAGAACTCACAGTCGCAGAAAGAGGCGACAACAGCTGACAGTGGGCCAGGAAAATATTTTCTCCATCTCTCGCACCACTGAAAGTTGTAGACATCCAATGAAGGTGAGTGTTGGAAGATCCGGGACAGATAAAAGGAAGGACATCTTCAGACGGCGCAGAAATAACCTCTGGAACTCACTTCCACAAGAGGCAGGGGTAGCCATGAACTTGAAGGGCTTTTGAAGAGAATTAGACAAATTCATAGAGAAGGAGGAGGCTATCAATGGCTGCTAGCTATGCTGTGTCCTCGCAGTTGCCATCCCTTTGCAGCTTATGGTTCTGGAGGAGACTCTTGAGAGTCCCATGGACGACAAGAAGATCAAACCTCTCCATTCTGAAGGAAATCAGCCCTGAGTGCTCACTGGAAGGACAGGTCCTGAAACTGAGGCTCCAATACTTTGGCCACCTCATGAGAACAGAAGACTCCCTGGAAAAGACCCTGATTTTGGGAAAGATGGAGGGCACAAGGAGAAGGGGACGACAGAGGACGAGATGGTTGGACAGTGTTCTCAAAGAGACCAAGATGAGTTTGACCAAATTGCAGGAGGCAGTGGAAGACAGGAGTGCCTGGCATGCTCTGGTCCATGTGGTCATGAAGAGTCAGACACGACTAAATGACAACAGATAGGCTAGTTTTAGCCTTTTAGTTCAAGTAAGCCAGTATGCTTTAAGGCAGACCTCTGAGCACAAGGTCTCCTTTCCGTCAGCAATCATGCTGCAGCATTCTGCCCCGACTGCTGCTTCCAGATCAA